ATCATGGGAGGAGGGAACACGTATTCCGTGAGTATCATGGGAGGAGGGAACACGTGTTCCGGGAGTATCATGGGAGGAGGGAACACGTATTCCTACAACATAGCGGGTGGGTTACCGTCCATTAGTGTCTGGAGGTCGAGGCCCTTGATGATTGTCAAGAGTTCCAAAAATAAAGTATTTTTATTTGTGTTTATTAGTAAAAATAACGCAATGCATTTAAAGGTAGTGTGCCAGCTTTCCTGGACCGTATGGAGTTAATGGCCCAGATAAGGAGAACCGGATTTTTAGAACTTATCCATACCTTCAAAACTCATGGAAACGTCTTAAATTCTTCAAATTTTGAGTACCCCAGTGCGAAATTCGCCCCGACGGGTTATCGGTCGTACCCCAACCACATTTCACACCACTATGAACAATAAATGCATACACTGAAATCGCTATTACCGATATGCTCATCCAATCAAGTTTCGATAAACCCGTTCATCATCAGCTCCTGCGGTTTCGAACACGCCTGTTAGGTGGTGCGGTAGACCACGCCCAAAGCCAGGGCCCCGGTAACGTGAGGTAGCCGAGTCAGGGCAGCGTGCGCTGACCCAAGCCGGAGCCGCGCGTCCTCCCGGTGTCATGTGGTAGCCCGGGGCTGCCCGCGGGGATGCGGTAGACCGCGCCCAAAGCTGCGGCCCCGGCTTGGGTCAGCGCACGCTGCCCCGACTCGGCTACCTCACGTTACCGGGGCCTTGGCTTTGGGCGCGGCTTCTGCTCATACTTTGTGGTGCTGCCTCTGACTTCGGCCAAGAAAAATGCGTCAGCTGATCATTGTCATTTCTGCCACTTGCGTGTGGTGAAATGGGGTCATAACTTATAAGACGGCTTTTTCATATCAATTATTTTACATAAAATCATATTTCAAACCATAAATAATGTTCGACAGCCAAATAAAAGAAACAATACCAATACGGGCTTACAGTTTAAGGCTCGACATTGTGTTGTCTACGATTAGACAGCTGATAACTCATTCCCGTACGTCGTATGGTCGTAACACTAATGACCTTTGCTTATTGTCACAAGTGCGCCGCATTCGCGATTGTTGCCCGACGCCTGTTTGCAGGTGAGCCCACTACAGTTGTTATACATATCTAAAAACCGATAAACTTTTAGGCGAAAAAGGCACTATTCCAGGCCAATTTTTGATTTTTTTGCGATATTAGGTAAAAACAGAAGCTTCTTATCCTAGGAAAAATAAAATGGGAAATCTTTCAAAGGTGGCACACTACCTTTAATAACCTTTTATTTCATCTAATTGTATTATCAAGCAATAAGCATCTATATTTTGCCGTTTTTGTACTGAGAATTAGCTGGGAAGGGTTGAATGCAGCGTCGACTCCCACTCCGTTTTCGGCCGGAAGTGTCGACTCCGACTCGAACCGACTCCGACTCCGACTCCGACTGTAACCGACTCCGACTCCGACTCCGACTCCGACTCCACAGCGCTGATCCATGGTCTCTGATCTTTGCCAAATGATCAGTTCTCTGCTATCAGTTCTCTAGACCACTCCACAGCTTATCATATGCATGCCACCGTTGTCTGCCGTCCGATTTCGCTTGTCCATCTATACATGTAAAGTCTATGACGCGAATTTGCACTTGCATTTGCGACCGTCTGTCTCTGAATGTTTGGAAAGCGGTCTTCTCCCGTTGTGGGCTAGCTTCAGTTGATATCTGTCTCAGAACTACTTCTCAAGGGAATGTTGAACGGAAATCAAATGTAAAATGAACAGAGGCAATGGTACCGAATTACCTTATTGAAGAATAGCGCTCACCTGTTTCCCAAAGTTTAGCACCGCTCTTCAACATCTGATATCCGATCGGCATCTGGCACAATTTTTTCCCATCGGAACGTTTTCTATGACAGCAAAACGAATATAGTTACATCGTCCACTGCCGGATCCAGGGAGCGGACATTTAAGGCAAATACTCGCCCCCCTCACAACGCCCAAAATCGTCAAAAACATGTTTTCTTACAGGTAATAAGACTTTTATAAGTTCTTTTTTTGCTTTTAACTGCTCAGCAGTAGGTATGAAAACAATCAAAATCCGAGGATATTTCGGATTTTGGAGACAATTTTCTATGGGTATGTTGCCGCATCGTCGAAACCGCCTTTCTGGATCCGGCTATGACATCATCTCGTCTGAGCTGTTGCCCTCCCCCCACGCCAAAATGGAATCCGCCACCACTGCTCACTCTCTAGACCACTTCACAGCTTATCATGTTCATACCACCACCGTCTGCCCATGCCCAATACACTGTTGCACGGCACTGATATAGATTGACCAGAGCTGATAGCGACTATCAAATACGGACTATGATACTACAGAGCAGTGCATCGGTGGACGGTAAGGGCCTCTCGGGTGGGGCATATTTCGACAGACGCTGAGCCCGTGTCCATAGAGGGAAGCTTTCTTGCAGGTTTGCGGAAAAATTTCTCAACTTTTCGCTCCGCGTCTGAGACTCGGTAAGTGATAAGATAATTTTTATGGATGAATTAATTTGTCATTAATTTACTGGTATTATTAGCCATAATTAGTTATTTGAATTGGATATACAATTGAATTGAATTGAATGGCATCATACACGTATTTATTATTAGTCATATCATTGTGAAATTAACGTGTAGCCTTAGTATAATTTGTGAATTTAGGCACCATTACATAAAACGAGATGGATTTCTGACAAGGCAGTAACACACATTATAATCAAGATTCACATTAAAATCATCTATTTATGGAAGCAAATCATTGACAAATGTCTTCGGCATTTTTTCATTACGCTTTTTAAGCATACCTATGTGGGATTATCTCTATGACAGTTGCGGATGTCACATTATTCAACAGTGAGCTTACGCTTATTGACTCTTGTTTTGTGCCACTCCGGGCCCCCAACGCTGAATTCAAAACATGTAAGGGCCCTGCGTTGGTCTCAAAGGACTCCACGCCAATCTCTAACGGTCCTTGCGTCATCGTTTCGAGGGAGGTTAAGATAACTGCCTTTGTCGGATGATACCCAAGTTTCCGGTTGGATCGGGACATGGCGATGCCTGATCAACCTTCTTCAGGAAAATGCTCCCTGCCCATCACCAATGTAAGTAAATAATCATATGCTGGTGTTTTTTTTTTTGTGCAATGGTTATGTACTCGAAAATAGCGTAGCTTATTTTCACTTACCATGCTATTGTATAATGCTTTTGAACTAAAATACACACTTATTGAAACACGAAATGAAATGTTATTTTTAAGGTATCCGACGTACTTCAATTGGAGGGAGACATGGCACATGACGGTTAACTTTACCCGCGCCGTGCTGGGGGGGGGGGCGTTTTTACGCCCCCCCCCCCACCTCAGGTTTTTTTGCGAATATCTCAAAAACGGCGTGCCTGTTCATGTTCATGCATGCATGCATCTCACTGTTCATGCATTTTTTCCACACATGTTGTAAAAATTTCAGACCCAGGTCGTTCAAGGTCAGGTCACCAGGTCACGTCAAGTGACCTTACCTCAGAAAAAAGTTCAAAGGCTCGCTAGAGCTACACCGACTGAACGATCACTTTCAAACTTTCAGCGATTGATAAGAATGGCAATAAGTATAAAATGTATTTCTCAGATTTTTATATCTGTGACCTAAGTTCAGGTCAATTTTGCGACTTCTCTTTTATACCTAAGTCAATGGGAGTAATTGAAATGCCCTCTCTTGGACGAATATCGTTCAAAACCCTCTCAAACATCGGTGCATGGGTAAACATGACACAATGAATCGATAAAATGCTCCTGTGACCCCTTTATGTGCCCCTGAGGTCATATCAGGTCATGAACGGTCACTAGCAGTTTTTTGGCTACAACTTTTGATAGAGACGCGCTAGAGTGGTGAAAACACGTCAGATGTCTTCAGCTCGACGATACGGATCGACTGATATGCAACATGGCCCTTTCCGGTCAGGTCATGACCTTAACCCTAAGATCAAATTTTCCAAATGACCTTTCAAGGTCAACAAATAGTTCATTCGACGCATCTTGACGAGAGGAGCACGATGCTGGCTAAAAGGTGACTTGCTTGAGTCAAAAGTTATTACCGAAAATCACTGTTCGTGAAACCGGCTGTTTTTTGAGTTTTTGCCCCTGGAGGCTAAACCGTTGACCTGAGTCCAAATCTGAGAACATTGCTCAGAAAGGTCTGTAAAAGGGCTATCGAATGCGCTTTTTTTGCGGCGCTTTAGGTCTATTGATTCCCAAGTTAGCCTTTAGCAGTGGCAAAATTGAAGTGGACTAAATTTGACCATTGGTGACCTCTGGTGACCGGACCTAAAACAACTTAAGTATTCCCGTCTTTATTTTTGACGCTCTTTCGATTGCTGCTTACCGCGTGTCGCTACGTGGCCCAGGAGCCAAATTTGAAGGGGGGACGTGAAAACGCCCCCCCCCCGAACACGACACGGAAAACATATGGCCACCAGCACGGCGCGGGTTAAACTAATATTGCCGACAGGGAAAAAAGGGACGGAGACATCACTACCGTTGGGAGCATCACGTTCGCTAAAGCGGCTTCTTGGGGAAGGGTGCCTTATCTACTGTTTTTTCGGTAAGTAGAAGCGTGTCATATAGCTTGTTACGGCTCCGGGCTTTGGTGTCTGCTGTGCAGTGGCGTTTATACAATGCCCGTTTTTTTAATCTTAGCCTGCAATGTTTTGGAATTCGGCTTATATTAAGGCTATATGAATATGATAGAGTTTTCCGGTTAAGAGCTGGCGATGCTGATGACGCTTTTGAAGATCACGCTAGAGTAGGTACCCACGAGGACCAGCATTTGTGATGAATACTACACATGGGTGCAATAAATGCCTACACTGGCTTCATTTCCGTCTTTGCTAGGTCCGGTGCTGATTTTTTTACTTTAGATCTTGCTTGACATGTATGACACCAGTATGACATATCTTCCCTGTACAGAGGACAATGCGACATGCGGCAAGAAGTGGCGATAAAGCGCATCCATTACCGCACTGATGAAGAGCGACTGCTGATAGAAAATGAAGTAGGCAACCTGTTGAAAGTCGAAGAGGATGACGCGAGGGTCATCAGGTAATCTGTGACCAATGCATGTGGGATCGATGTGACCCTCTATGACCCTCTGTGACCAATGCATCAGCCACGTGACTTTTTATGCATCTAAAAGTGTACATATTTGTACAGTGTGTACAGTGTAGTGCATCTGTAGTGTACGTGTCGCCGTTTCTTTTAGGTTTGGCGGAAAGCGTTAGGGGGTATTCAAACACCCCGTGAGCAGAACCAGGTTTAATCTAAAAGCCCCTTTTCACTCATTTTTAAGGTACTACATGACGCAAAGGACTGACAACTTCTACTATATTGCGATGGAGTTAGCACTCGGTACGGTGGAAGACTACGTGGAAAGGAAGCAGGGCGTCCATACCAAACCTGATATGGACGAGCTTGATAATCTCGATGAAATCAGCATTCTTAGAGATTCGTCAAAGGCACTTGAATGGCTGCACCAGCAAAAAATCGGTGAGTTTTATTATTTATTTCACTGCTTTGCATTCAGTTCTAGCCTTGGTATGTACAGTCCACAGCAGAAGTAATGTGGGGTTTCAGTCATGGGTATGTTCTGCTTCTGAAGCTTAGGAACGATTAACCAGACTACAATGAAACTTTGAATGTAGCTTACATGTATCGTCACCCTTGCAGCTGCAACTTTAGCTATTGACATCTTCTTTTCGATCATTCCGCATTAAACAATCGTCAGTCAAAGCCAACCGTTGAGATTGGTAAAACCCTACATTACTTTAGCGGTGGGCTGTACAGTGGGTCTATTTAACCCTATTCGTGGCAGGCTCCTGGCTACCCCTATTAGTGGCGGAGGGGGGGGGGCTGTTTACGACCCCCCCTTGATATCTCGAGATCTAACGGGCCGATTTTCAAAATTCAAACGGCATTCGATTTCGCTCAACGTGATCTACATTTCTAAAAAATAAAAATTAAAAAATGTCAATAGGGGGGTAGAGGGGGGTAAAAACGGGCAAATTGCAGATACATTTTAGACTGTTAATCACGGCCAGGTTTCTGAACCAATCTTAACCCGCGCACCGACGGGGGGGGGGCGGATATCCGCCCCCCTGAGGTTTTTCGCGAATAGCGGGAAAACCGCGGCGCGTAGCGCCGCGAAATTTGGTATGACTATTCCCTTATCAATTTTACACATGGTGTGCAAGTTTGAACCTCCTACCTTTCAAGGTCAGGTCACCAGGTCACTTTGAATGACCCAACCTCAAGTCACTTTTTTGCAACTTTGCCACCGTGCCAGAGCTACAGTAGATGTGGAGGCCTTTGAAAGTCGCAGGATGTTATAAGGTCATTAGTAGCTACAATTTGTATATCTCGGAATTTTGATATCGGTGACCTAAGGTCAGGTCAATTTCGCGACCTCCCCATTATAAGTCAATGGGGGAAAAATCAACTCCCTGTTTTTACCACTAAAACGGGTCGGAATGGCCCCATATACCATACATGACTTCATATACGATCAACCTTCACTACCTTGAGGTCTGTTTTGCTGTTGGGCAGCTGTGAGGTCATGTGACGTCATCAAAGGTCACCAAAGGTTTTTGGCCAATAACTCCGTACAGGAACCAGATACAGACGCGTGGATGGTCTCATTGTGTTCAGCTCGTCAAGACGCATCGAATGATATACATGATGACCTCGAGGTCACGTGACCTGAGGTCAACCTTGACCTTGACCTTTCGAGGTCAACATATATATCATTCGATGCGGATTGACGAGAGGATCACGATGATGCCCTTAGTTTGTTCCTATCTTGACTAATTCGAAAGTTATTCGAGAAAAACTCTCCATATTTAGCGCCGCCATTTTGACTTTTTCGACCCCTGTGACGTCATCTTTGACCTGACCTGAAAATGACCTTTGTAAAAATTGTAGATCTTGACCGTGCGTATCCGATGCCGTTTACCGCTTGTCGCTATCTTGCTTCGTTCTCGAGATCTCAGGGGGGGGGGGGGCGGTCATCCGCCCCCCCCCCGTCGGTACTAAGTTGGCGCAGACCCCCGTCGGTGCGCGGGTTAACGCAACTTTTGCCGATCGATAGAGAATGAACCAGGAATTCACATGGATCCTAAAAATATGCATTTTCAAAAAGCATAGGCGGATACAGATCATTGAGATTGGAGGTACACAAAAAGTAGGGTAGCCTGGGGCAAGACGCCCCAGATAATTTATTTTGCTACATAAATTTTGTCCCACATCACCTGGAAGGCCAAATTTGTGCTCAATGCGTTCTTTGGACATTTTACTTTAAATTGCACCCCTCAAATTCATTCACTTATGATCGGACTCCAAGCTAGGAAGTGATTTGTGAAGCAACTGCAAATGAGGCATTTTGCCCCAACCCCAGGGCAAAACGCCCCACGGCCTGGGCAAGTAGCCCCATACTTTAGATTAACCCTCGCCCGCACATGGGGGGGTGGTTGCCACCCCCCCCAGGTAGTCTTTCTGCTCTGCACTCAACATTTTTAGAGCTAGAAGGCTGATTTTTCGTATAGCTGCTCCTCTATCCTTTCTTGATGTCCACTGAAAATTTCAAGTTTCTGTGATTTTTGGTTTCGGAGATATGACCTTGTTTGTCAGGTCATGTCATGACCCAAATGGCCAATTCTCAACATATTGCGTTAGCCGTGGGCCTTTGAGCTTTTGACACCCTGATTTCGGCCTTTTTTGCAGTCTTACCTCCCACCTATCATGGAACATGTTGTTCGATGATGTACAGGGGTCAAGGTCAGGGTCAAGGTCAACCTAGGTCATCTAAGATAATTGCGTTTTAGGCAAGCTGAATTTACTTTTTTGAAGTTTTTTTTGGCTGCATTTTTGGTAAAAGCTTCTCAGATCATATTTCATATAATATGGACCCAAAAACAATCGGTGCACACATCAGTATACACACAGACACACACAGACATACAAACACATATAATTGACCTTGACCTAACTTGACCTGAAATGACCTCAGCAGCAAAATTCTGGTCGGGTAGTGTGACAAAGAGGTTCTAGCTGGCTTGGCACCAGAAAACAGCATCGCCATCGGTATTTGATAAGCAGCACACTTGATATCCAACGGTGACCCAAAACAGCAACATTTTTAGTTTGACCTGACCTGGAAGGTCAATGACTGACCTGAGAAGGTAAAACTGGGTATCATTGGATTTGTCTCTTCCCAAAGAATCTTTTTGGTCTTTACCGCTAAGCTCTATCTCCAACAGGAACGAAATGGCGCGGGGGGGGTGGCAACCACCCCCCATGTGCGTTGCGTTCTAGGATGGGAAAATGGCATGTGCGGGCGAGGGTTAAAGATTTAACATGGTAGTTGGCTTAAATCTTATGTGAGAGGTCCGTTAGACCACTGGGGGCACGGCACTAGAGTTAGCACGTTCCATCCTGTCAGGTGTTCAGCTATGACACTATTGTATGAGCAGGTTTTTCACCTGCCTCATAAGACCAAATAATAAATTATTGCAATGCAAATGTTTACAAAATACTCCCTTTTCCATCCAGTTGCTGAGGAAAAATACACATAAAGGCATAGAAACTTACTGTTCGCCAGCTACCGAACATTAGAAAGTGGGTAGCCCGAACAACACATGAGGTAAAACGCCCCATGGGGCTTTTTGCCCCGCGACCTACTGGGGCGTTTTACCCCATCACGTAGTTCGGTCAGAGAACAACGCCTTGCACTCCAGGAAGATATAATCTAACACGAACCAACCCGGCATGATAAGCGTTAAACATAGTTGTTCAAAATACATAAAAGTCGTTAACCTGATGTGGACCATAAAAGAACGCCATGATGCATAATCTGACACAAAAGATAAAATCACTCAAAAAACACATTTTGGCTATATCTCCCGAAAGAGTCATCACAATTTCTTTCCAGTCTGCTCATATAATGATCATATAGTGCACGTTTATAGAAGAGAGGATGTTCCCCAGAACTCTGCCAGTTCCGAGAAACATCGGTGAGGCGTTTTACCTCGGCGGGGCGACTTGCCCCGGTCTACCCTATAGTAAATAAGGTTTTTGTTGGTACTGTTTCTAAAAAGGGTGGCAATGGTCTTGTTATGTTACAATTTTCTTGTGAGAAAACGACTACAATTGTATTGGTCATGCATAGGCGGTGTCAGGGCACCTGTGTTGGGAGGTAAAACATAACCCCCCTTTTTGGACGCCTGGATCCGCCTATTATAGCAAAAACGTGTCAAAAGTGGATGCACAATAACTTTGTAGGTATATGTTATCACATGATACCTTTCATTCAATGTTCGTAAAACTGGTGTATACAGTTATCCCGCGCGGGGCTGGGGTCTCCAGCCGAACGCGCGGGGCTGGGGGGGGGGTAAATTTTACCCCCCCTGTTATCTCCCGAACTAACGGTCCGATTTGCAAAATTCAAACGCCAATCGAAAGCTCTCATCACGAACTACTAAAACATGTACTTAATTTTAAGTTTGAGGTCAAGGTCAAGGTCAGGTCAAGGGTACAAATTGCAAGTTTCTAAAGTATCGGCCTTGCACCGTAGTTGCCGAAGAATGGAGTCATGGACTGACACTGATCGCCCAAAACGTGTTCTTAGGCTACCAAGACAATATTCGTTGCATACAATATCATTCAGAGGTCAAGGTCAAGGTCAGGTCAGGTCAGGTCAGGTCACCAAAAAACAAAATATAGAAAAGGGCATGTGCGACACATGTTTTATGGGTCATTTTACTCATAGAATTCAATAGGCACACTCAATAAGTGATATGGACCACCTCTGGATGAATTTCAGGTCGAGGTCAGGTCAAGGTTAGGTCAAGTGAGGTCAAATTTTGAAGTTGGTTGTTAAGGCCTAAAAAGGTGTCTATCTGATGCAGTTTTTCACGGCGAATCGAATGGTGCTATTTTTGTTTTCGTACGAGGTCTAGAACTTCCAAAAAAGTCATTTTTCAAAATTTTGTGTGTCGTGACGTCATAAAATTTTGAATAACTCCCACATTTTTGAACCGATTCTTCTAAAACTTGGTATGTAGGTGCACATAGACCACTTCTCTGACATATATTCCGGTTTTTTCGATAGACTCAAAATTTTGGCTTTTATAATGATTTTCCCAAAAAAGTCAGTTTTTTGAAAAAATTTAGGCCAAAATCCAAAATTTTCAAAAAACCGAGATAGCCATTTGATAGACAAAGTAAAATTACGTATAACCTTTTTTGTTACGTCTTGATTCCTTTAAAAATGAAGATGCTAGCGGCGTTTGAACTTTTGCCGTTTTTGAGGCGAAAATGACGAACATGACGTCACTAAAACGTCAATTTCTCAAAAATTTTCCGATGGATTTCGCTCAAATTTTCAGGGAACGTGTCAAATTGATGTAAGAAAAGGTACTAAAAGTTTGGCGGCGCTGCGCGCCGCCGTTTTTGAGATATCGCAAAAATTCGCGAGGGGGGGGTAAAATTTACCC